AACAGCACTCTCCAACTCTAAACAACATGCAGTCTTCATTTAAATTATACATTTTTTAGTCTAATACTGACCTGGAATTATTGATCAAAGAAACCCTCCACATCAAACAGCACTCTCCAACTCTAAACAACATGCAGTCTTCATTTAAATTATACATTTTTTAGTCTAATACTGACCTGGAATTATTGATCAAAGAAACCCTCCACATCAAACAGCACTCTCCAACTCTGAACAACATGCAGTCTTCATTTAAATTATACATTTTTTAGTCTAATACTGACCTGGAATTATTGATCAAAGAAACCCTCCACATCAAACAGCACTCTCCAACTCTGAACAATATGCAGTCTTCATTTAAATTATACATTTTTTAGTCTAATACTGACCTGGAATTATTGATCAAAGAAACCCTCCACATCAAACAGCACTCTCCAACTTTGAACGACCTTTCCTTTTATATGCTACAGCTACAATAATTTTTTTAACTGAAAATATCGCTCTGCTAATTTCCTGGGAATTTTGTTATGATAAACAATTTGAAGCACTGCTTGTCTCTTTGAAAAAAAAAGTGATTAAAGCGCTTGGCTCGCAATCTGAGGGTCAAGAATTCAGATCCCTGTCACATTGAACATGCTCACTCTTTCAGCCGTGGGGACGTTATAATGTATTTGGTCAATCTTACTATTAGTTAGTAAAAGAGTAACCCCAGAATTGGAGGTGGGTGATGTTGACGGTAAATCCACTTTATTTAGGATTGTTCTCAAAATGTCAGACAAAAAAAGACAAAAAGCAAACAGTACTTTGTTTCAATTACATGCAAATTTGAGTGGTTATTTAGCATTCAAACGATTTTTACACAACTTGTCGTATATTTCGAATTAAGCTGCTCTATCCATGCAGGTGGTGCGGCACAAACTTCCTGCCTATTATGCAGCTTTGTGCCATAAAGCCCTTCTTCATTTAATCCTGTCAGTAACGTTTTTCCTATGCCCTCATCACCATCTCTTGATATTAGTTTTAAAAATGACGATATCTTAGAAATAAATTTTTTAAATATTTCAAGAAAGACTCGTGTACGTTATACATGGTATTTTTGAAAGTTAACAACATTAGATGCATTTTTAAAATAATGGTTATTTTTTATTTCGTGCACAGATACACGACGGCTATCTGCGCTAGCCGTCCCTAATTTAGCAGTGATAGATTAGAGGGAAAGCTGTTAGTCAACATCACCCACCGCCAACTCTGGGGTTACTCTGTTACCAACTAATAGTGGGATTGACCGTTACATTATAATGTTCCCACAGCTGAAAGTGTCACAGGGATCTTAACCCTTCACCCTCAGATTGTGACTCGAACGCTTTAATCACCAGGCCATTTCAGATCCTTTATTTTATAATGAATTAATTTATTATATTTAAACACGACTATACTTAGTTAATTACACATTTCAAATTATAGTTTATTTATATCAGTAGAAGTATGTGTATTCCTACAGAAAATACGAGCAATATTTAATATTTTGTTCATAAATTATACTTGCTCTTAAATAGTCTAAGTTATTTCGACGACTGTTAGCATCTTTTAGAACAATTTTAGTCCAATAATACAGCATAATAGTGTATTTGAAAGTTTTGTGCATATCTTAAGTTGTAGTAAAATAATTTTGATCGGTATTTCTACAGTTGCTTAAATAAAGCTTGGTAAAGTAAAGTGTGCCTTTTATTAATTAGCTTCGTGCCTTTCTTCTCAATTTGTAGTTTCCTTTAGTATGAGTATACCATTGAATCAGAGACTAAAATACGTTCTTAATTTACATATAGTTTATTGAAAATTAAGAATAACTTATAAAACATAGTATTATCGACCGACATCAGTCGTCTAAATCTGTCTTTTATTCGCAAATATCATATTATAATATTTGGATTTGACTTGTGAGTCAATGAGTTATTAAGCGCCAAGCCTTATAAGATAAAGTGCACTGACTTCAGAGTTAGTGAATACCCAAACAGTGTTCTATATGCTATGAAGCTTCATCAGTTTAAAACACTTTGACTTCAGCAAGGAATTAACAATCTACAATTATACAGTATCATAACAGTTTCTTCATTTGCACCATACATCACACTAAAAAAACGATAAAATGAACATGAATTTGACTGATGCTATTATAGAGTGTATTTCATAGAACATGACTGGGAATTATATGTATATACATACATAAAGAAAATGAAGATTTCTGACAGCTTATTTAATTGAAAATCATCTTCGTTATGTGTAATTTAAAGACAAATGTTAGACAGACATCTATTATCACACGTAATTATGCTGCAAACTAAGTTGTCCTTAATACATGATATTAAGGACAATTTCCATATAGAGTCCATTTACTTAACGTTCATGTACGAAATGGGAAATAGGTGTTTTACGGGAGTTTTAGTCTTTCATGTGCGCATTAGAGGGAAGATGATGATTGCATGTCCGCAAGTTTGCGATATTCGTTTTTATTTAGAAGTGTTGATCATTTTAATCTTTCCTTAAGCCACCGATTACTTGTAAGTAGCTTCATCATATACAATGTCAATAAAAGTGATAGTTCTCACTCTAGTATTAACAACTTGAAATTTTTAGTATGTAAATTTGTCCAACAGGTGTATCCTTATCCTCTTTTTTTTTCATGTATGTTCGGACCCATTATGTCAATGATACGGACATAGAGAGGCGGAAACTTAAGCTAAGTCACATTACAACTTTGTTTCCTGTAATACTATTCACTAAGAGTCTTTATTTCTGTCACAGGCACATAAATTTTGCAATCCCCATGACATTTTACATTTTTACCCTCGCCCCTCCCCCTCTGGAGGGGGGAGGGTATTGCATTTGGATCCGTTTGCATGTATGTCCGCGCGCGTATCTGGAAAAATAATAAACCAATTGACGTGCAAGTTTTTCAAAAGAAAAGTTTGTTCCGATAGGATTGTCCCCCCCCCCAAAAAAAATGGTCTGAATTCGGATTATGGATCACTTTGAAACACTTTTGCAATAGAGATGTAGGGTATTTTCTCAGATTGTTAATAATAACTGTGTAAAAAGTGATCGGATTAGGATCGAATTTCAGGCCCACAATTGAAACCAAAAATCCTAAAATTTGGGCGGAGCAAGAGTATGCAATCTCTATGATTGTTCTTGTTAGTTTTATTACATCAAAATTCGTAAGTAATTTCTGTCTTAGGCTTTTGAGTAAAGAAATTTTATAAAAATAGGTTATTTGCTTATTTGTTTTAGAGAAAAACTACACTGGGCTATCTGCTGTGTCCACCGCAGAGAATCAAACCCGGATTTTAGTGTTATTAATCCGTAAACTTACCGCTGTTCCATTGGGGAACAAACAAGCACTTTTCTTTTACATTTCACGTCATTTACATTTTTCGAATTAAGAATAAAATGTTTTTTTAAAACAGTAGAGGTGAATGGGGCTTAAATTCAAAATGAAACAAGAATTTTATTTTAAACAGTGCAGTGGAAATGGAAGGTTATAACGTTAGTAATAAAATTATTTTGTTTTGTTCTAATGTATAAATAAATCTGAAATCACTGATCATTTTAAAACACTAATCCTTTATTTATTATTCGAAACATGAGAAAAACAATCATACTTATCTTGCACACAATATATTCTGTATATTTGTCAGCAATTAATAAAGAATAAAGCAAACCGAACATATAAATATATGTATATAAACTTACATAAACAGTCTGTACTCATAGACAAACACATACTTATGCACATATTGATATATTCATGCTGGAAATATCTGTGTATATATATATTCATGCATTTATATATACGTGTGGGTGTGCTATAATACCCATGTATATATTCGTACATTTATACTTACATATATATATACACATAATTTAGGTACATGTGAGCAGAAGGTAATCTAATCATATACATGCGCAAATAGCAGTTTCGAGTAAGGATAGTCAAAAATTTGTTTGTGTAACAAAACTAATAGCAATAATTAGTATCAAGTAACAAAGATATTGTGATAAAGGGTAGTTCACTTTTATTATATATATATATATGTAAAAGGAAGGATGAATAAGTTAAGAAAGAAACATTTTGGGTTTAGATTTAAAGGAAATTACATATTCATAAATCATTGAAATATTTTACAGTTTTTGTTGTATGAATATTTGAAAGTTTTAAGAACAACTATGGTTATAAATCTTCGACACCTTTCGATGTTAACACTATTTATTTCGATACAATTATAGTAAAATGAACTAATAATTTCAGTTTCTTCTTAGTAGCTATCTCCCTTTAAATAAAATTTAGTAAAACTGTAGAACTATGTAAGTAATATCTGTATTTATATTAGCTACTAAATGAAATTGACTGAGTGTCTGTATTTCCATCCCTCTAACGGCCGGCAACATATCATTGTTGCCTTTAGTAGAACTTCAGAAAAAACAGACATCATGAGCGAATTAACGCTTTAACATTGGCAGAAATAGTCATACCTTAAACATTAGGATGAAATATCAAAATCTTACGTAAAATATGTTTCTTAGAAACATTAATCCTAATATAGCTAATTGTATTCCCTATCTCCATCCACAGAAAGTTCCACGTATCTTGCTTGAACTAAAGGGTGTCTTTATGTATTTTAGAAAATTAAAGACCTCAGAAGTATTGCGACACTATTATGTTAGAAAACGATATTGGTCTGTATATCAGTTAGTTAATTTATCAACCAATGAATATATAAGTTCTTGTTCAGTTGAAGATTTTAGAATGCTTATACAATATCTACAGGCAAGTGGTAAAAATATATTTATCAAGACAACAAAATTACGAACAACATTCGTTAAGAATAATTTACCTCAGAAATCCTGCTCGATTAAGATGGATTAATTTCTTATTCAAAAATAACTCTTTTTGCTGGCCATGTCCTAATAAAATTACTACGATTTATCTGTACCACGTATGAAAACACAGGAGTCTTCTAACTGATCTTTAAGATTGACTCTCAGCTCTTTGTTACCCATATCTGGAGGAGAGAGAATGATCCAATTCCTTCTGTTCCTTCTGCTGCCTTCGCAACAGTTTCGTACAATATGTGAAACGATTCCTGAACTCTGTGTTGAATCTCTCCTGTAACAAGACGGAAAATGGACTAGAACATATATAAATTTGAATGATGCATAAGATAAAAATAAAAGTATTTCACGAAATATATCACTTATATTTATTGACACTTAAGTAGTACACAGGCATTACTTATGTTCCATTACATATGTGCATCTATAATATATTTTTATACAATGTAAAATTTCTGAAAACACACGTAATATCTCCCTACATGGAAAGTATATTATTGCCGTGACCCAAGAAACACCATCACACATTAAGTTACAGAGCAATCTACAGAAATGAATACAACTTCTTAAAAAGCTGGATTACTTCTCAGACTCAAACTGATTAAATATAATGGCACTTTCTATATGTTATCTATTGTAACCTACACACAAAAAACATACACAATTAATGCTTATACAAACGAATAAATTAATTTTACACTAACATTTAAAATTTTATAATGTTTATTTACAATCTGCTATATATAATTTCGAGCAATGTCATATTATATAAACAAAAGAGCCCCATCTACTTGTTCGTTAACATGATTTTAATACGATATTTTTATTCAATTTTATTTTGGAATTAAAACTAAAAACGTTAAGCTACACATAAAAAAATCCCCCGGTGGGACAGCGGTAAGTCTTCGGATTTACAGCGCTAAAACCAGGGGTTAGATTCCCGTCTGTGGACTCGGCATATAGCCCGATGTGGCTTTGCTATAACAAAACACGCATATAAAAATATTTTATGTTACAATAAATTAACTGTATGCATGATTTTAGAAAACAATATTTTTGTAAATCCAATAATCAATTTTCGGTAGATTATTTTTAAAATCATACTTCATTTAATACTAGACGTTACGCCACTACACAGAAATATTACATACACATAGTCTGAAATTGTATAGAAACGTTATTCACTATGTCAAATTATTTGACTAATGAAATTATCAGATGGATTATAGATGTCTATCTCAGATTATAAAATATTTTTATTTTTTATTTCTTGGTATTACGACTGTTAACACTGGATATATAATTTGTAATCTTATGAGCGAACTTATTTACAAAGGCAATTCCTTATTTCACTCTGTCGCGCATCTTACACATATATCTCTTAATATCAACCACAAAAAAAATGGGATGAAATGATGACATTCATTACTGTAACTGCATTTACAAAGATTTCTTAACTACAAGGAGTTTATCACACAAACGTTCTGATTTTTTTCGAATTCATAAGCCTACTCAGCTTAGTAACTTACATTGTAGATGGCGTACACAAATGGGTTATAACAAGAGTTGCTCATGGCCAGCCAATGACAACAAAACCAGATGACGTTGATATACTTATACCTGTAGGAATGAAATAAGTTTTAAGTAAAAAAAGAGCTTCTGAAACATATTTTGATAATTTGTTTAACGGTCTTTTGGAAAACAAATCTATGGGAAATTCACGCCATTTATTAAAGCATAATATAAAGATATAGAAATATAAAACAAGTATAAATTAATTAAATGAAGCATACAAGCTTCTCTTGGAAGCACGGGACAATATAATGATATTAATGTAATTAAAGTTAGCGATATTTTTACAGTTAATTTACGTTGAAGACTGAAAAGTTCATAATTAATACTTGTTTTTGAAAGTTTGAATGAGGTACAAATCCACTCATTGTAACAGCCAATACCATAAAGTCACAGGGGAAATATAAAATATATTTTCATTGATCTTCAATAACGAGGTTTCGCTTAAAGGGTTTTAAAAATGATTTAAGATATATGAGTCAGAAAAAAAAACTGTCGTGAGAAAGTTTTTTTTTAATAATACCAAGGGTTCGAATTTCAGGCACAGAACGCTGAAATGTTGAAACAAGAAGAGTATTCTTAAACAAGTAGACATATTAATCAAATCTATAAAATCTGTAGATTTGTTTGTAATTAAGCACAAAGCTACACAATGGGCTATCTGTGCTTTGCCCACCACGGGTATCGAAACCCGGATTCTAGCGTTGAAAGTCCGCAGACATACCGCTGTGCCACTGGGGGCCGAAATCGGTAGAATTTAAGAGTTCTTGAGTAAGGAAGCACGTTATGGTAATATAATAATATGTAGGCAAACTCTTCCTTATGCTTACAAATCGTTGTTTGCTTACCTATTATTAAGCATTAATAGTAAAAAGAGAGAAAGCAAAAACGTTTTGAAAATTATCATTTGGTGTACAGGTGATGTAATTAGCTTTAGTCAATAATACGTTAGATAAAACCTTAAAGCTATTAATACCAGCAGCATTTACCAAAAGGGGACAGTTTATCAGCAAACAATAATTCATTCTCCAGAATACATTTTTTTTCTGTAGATTTTGTCGTTTTAACATACTAAGTTATTAAAATTATATTAGAAAACTACAGTAAGCACTCGCACAATAGTCATTGTGAGAAAAACATTGCACTTCCATATTGTATGCACTAGCACAAATGCAGGCGTAAAATGACACTTCTATCGAAGTAAATGAATGGTGGGAGACAAAATCGTTGTAGTCTTATTAGCACAATCTAACGATATTTACATGCACAGCTTCATTACGTTTACTTTTGAGTTGAGAAGTAGATTTATTGTGTTGTGTAAAAGAATAAATGATTAATGCGAAAAATAGAAAAAAATATATGAATTTATACACCTAATGAGAGAAAACAACATTAATTCAATTAACACCTACTTATTCTTATGGTATCAAATTCAAGTAAAACTTCCAATATGCAAAATATAACCAACTATGAAACTCGATAATTACTTAGTCTCATAAGCTTAAACTTATGCATACTTACGTATTGATTGTTGGGTACACTTCTTGTAAAATATTGTACGTTTGGAATGGTAACCAACATATGGTGAACAAAGCAACCACGATGAACAGCATTTTGATGACCTGTAAGCAAAAATCATTTCGATTTTCACTGAATAAGTAAATTAGAGTTTATCAAGCGCTTCGCAGTCTGCAGTCTCACATCCTGATATTATGAAATATACTGAACGTTGCCGTCAAACGTTTTGATGGTAATAAGATGTTTCAGACTCACTTAGTATAATGTATACTTCATCAATAAAATTATATTTGATTAATGACAATTAGGGCGGTTAGAGCGCTCGACTCGTAATCTGAAAGTCGCGGGTTCGAATCCCCGTCACACCAAATCTGCCAACCCCCGCCTTTGCCTGGTCCAAACTCCAGGATGAAAAGGGGGAGGGTTGGGCGCGGGGCTAGCAACTCCACCCCGGAAAAACCAACCTGCTACAAGTAACTGCAACAACACCTTCCGTTGGCGAGGTGTTGTTGTGGCCCTATCAGCAGATATTAATCGCAAGAATAGGCAACAAGTATATTTTGATGACGAAGGTTTGATTTGTAAGCTGTTACTATAACATATAAATGAAGTTTAGGTGTTTTATTAATTTGGTAATTGGAGTAGAAAAATTGAATCCCGATTTTATTTTTCAAATATTAAGCTCATCCGTGGTATTTTATTTATCCTAAAAAATAAATCATTTAATCTATGATTTCTTTAAAACCTAATACTTTGTCAAATCAACACAGCCAAACAGTTTTATTTTTTCTGTTGCTCCTCTGGAAAAACTATAATTGGAAACAAGTTACAGTACCGCTTCTAGATTAAAGCAGTTGATTTTACATTTTAAAACTGTATTTTTATGTATTAAGGTTTTTGTTAATTATACTTTTTTTTCCTTTTATTATAGCAGAATTTTGTCATAATCTTCTAAACATGTGATTTCTGGTTGTAAGAAAAAAACAAACTATCTTTTGGTTATTTTCAGGTAATTATTTAGTGATCTCTCACCCATGGAAGTATTAATAAGCTATTTTCAGTGTTTGCTGAAATTAAATTTGCTTATATGTTTTGTCTTTCAAATTAAATATTTGACATAAGAAACGTCTCGTCATATAAATGTTACTACTGCCATAGATTTGACTCACATATGAGGTTAACGCAACAGTTAAGGTACTTTCGGACAAAATATGATAATACTGATTCAAAAAGTGTTAAATACATAGCTCATGTAGAAGCCATAGGTTTTCCAAACGCCAGTCTTTGGAAACGTAACAAATCATATAAATAATGTGTGTTTACTTACTAGGATTGTCTAAGGTGTCAGTGTGCACATTCGTACTTTTTACCTTAAGCTTTTATCTATTCTTTCGACATTAAGTTTTGTGTTGAAAACAGCCAATCAAAAATAGCAATTGACACATTCAATCGGTATTTATATATACTTTTCTTTACGCATTAGGCGAAGTATTTTTTACTTCCGCGAGTACAATCCTGATAAATAGATTAGACACTCACTAGTAAGTATTAGGTTGTGTTATTAACACTAGAGGACATATTATTTTGGCAGCACATTATTATTCATTCAGTAATATAAGTTTTTGTTTCGTTTAGCAAGTACAGTGGGTTGAGTACATTATATAATAACGATTTTTGGAGCCTTATCACGTCATCACAGTCCATGTAAATACAGCTTGCCAGCTCTCTCTGGCAACCGTGCATCTTGACGATAGCTCTGTTGTGTAGTTTCCATTAAAAAGGCTCCATGCTGGATTTCTACAATCCATCTAGTGTCCGAAGACGACGGTTTCCAAGCGCCCGTTCCAACAGTCTGATCGCACAGAAATCTATAAGCAATGTGTCCGGCAACATAACTAGTATGTCTTCGTATTTAATAAAATGAATACCCATTTCATTCTCTGACTGTTTGATGAATGCAACGGTTGAACGGAAGAGTTAACTGGAAGCCTTATCTTGAGGAATCCATACCCTGTTAACTTCTTTTACAAACGAAGTTCCTTCTTGGTTAGTGTTGCGTACTGTTACTCAGGACACTTCAACAACTTTTCCCAGTGAATGCTGTGTTTATGTTAAAAGACGTCGCACTTTGCTTACCACGACTGCGAGATGACTTGTTATAGGTCTCTATATGGATGGTGCTAGTACCCCGAGTTAATCCAAATTATTTTGTTTTTCAATACTTTTATGTAGGATATTCCCAATCCGAAAAATATCTTTGTGATATAAGTGTATGGATATTTTATGCCAGAAATGGATTAATTTTCGGTGACATAATACTACCTACCAAAAGCCAAACGATGTCAAAATGTAATTCTGATAGGTGTCGTTCCACTGCGACTTAATATCGTTTGTGGTTTTCACGTGATTTGCTGATTTGTTATTCATATAAAATATTCAAGTCTGTATTTATCCATTGTATACCTTACAATGAGCACTCCATCGTAATTAGTTATTTGAATAAATATTTTGTCATTTAAATGCCTGCTGGGAAATGTTAGTTACATAGAAATTATACTTCAAAAATTCTTTGAAATGATTAATAACTTGTTGTTCAGTTTTACATTCCAAACTATTTATGATAGAATAAATAACATTACATTTACGAAAGAACGTTTGTTGAATGTTTCATTTGAGTAATGTTCATCTACTTTTTAGTAAATGGAAAGTAAATAATGATTATTTTACTGTTGTTTAATAGTCAAGTAATTTAAGTATTTTTGTTAATTTCTAGTATGTGAAATTTTATGTTACAAATTGCAAATGTAATTAAATATCTAACTAATAAAATATTTATTAAGTTACTTTTACAAAAATTTCTCAATATAATGGGTTCAAATTCAAAATACATTTCCGAGGTAGATTTGTATTTGTTTTTATGGCATAAAGCTAGCCAGACTTTCTCTTGAATCTATCAATTTAACGTTTTTAAGGTGAATTCAAATTTTGTTTATACCTTCAAAAACAAGTTACTAATCAATTAGAGATTACGAGGTATAAAGCTAGTTTTTCAATTTTTCTTATATGAGAAATTGTAGTAAGTCTAGGGCGTTGTTTAATACATCAAACATGATGCTGCAATCAGCGTTATATGTTCAGTTTCGGTTTTCAGATGCGGAAGTTAAACAAGTAGAAATGGATAATAGGGTAATGCCTAAGAGATTAAACCATACGTGTGCCACATTATGATGGTAACGTTATCAATTTCGATTATTTCATTTTATAAAGTTAAAGAGAAACATCATATTCGTTTCACGCATACATTTTAATCATTAGAATTATTTGCAAAACTGAAATCTGCAAGAAAAATAAATTTATCAATTTGAAAAAGAAAAGTAGTTTCTACTAGAAAATTAACATTTTTGAAATAATTTCATAACTTTAAATTTTTATATTTTTTGAATACCTGTCTCGTTCTTTCTTTTACTTTTCTCGCAGATAGGATACCTTGGATAAAACGAGCACATTATATATATATATATATATCACGATGCAATCTTTAGTAGAGCATTTAACAAATCCACTTTGAGTTCAAACCAGAGAGATTGATTGGGATGTGGGCTCTCTTTGTCAGTAGCAAAGAGTAAAATGTAATCTTCGCATGATCAACCAGAACATGTATGCTAAAATTGAGAAAGAAAGAAAAACATACTGATTCACTATATTGATTCCCTAACTTTTATCCATGTGACTTGAAAGCATCCAAAATTTGAGGTTGGAATGGGGCAGTGGTTTTGTAACATATCATTTCTTTGTTATTTTATCCAAACCACTCTTGTTCATTTATGTCTTTTTTTGTAAGCATTTTTTGCACTTCTTTTCACCTACATCAATAAGTCAGTTTTTTATTTAATTGATTTCTCTTTACTAAATCTTCTCTAACTCCTTCATACATTGGTTTATGACTATTTCTAGTGCCTAACTTCCACTCTATTTGTTCATTTATTTACAAAGCCATAAATCGACACTCGACAGTGCACTAATATTACTAGTGATGAAATCTATGTAACAAATATTATCAATCCTCTTAAGAAATAGTTATAAACTGTAAGAAACGGGTTACATACTGCCACCTTGTGTCACAGTAGTGTGTGAAATTCAACTGCCTGGTACTCAGTTTCAAATATTTATGCCTATACAAAAAAACAAAAAAAACGTATAATGCTCCAGCTATATAGTTTCTCTTTTAAAAGCCAATGGATCAAAAAAACTCGTGGTATAGCTATGACTTACCCTTACGAAAGATGCTTTTATAATAAAAAAAATGACTACAGAAAAAGCAACTTGATCATCGCTAACTTATCTTCTGCTATTCATTCTATAACAGAAAAAATTACTAAATACCGAAGTAATGAATTGTAGAACTACAGTGTATCTTGGTAACAATGGTTTAATATTTGTTAACAGTCAGGTTATTTGTGCAAAATAAGCACAAAAGACTCATCCATTATCTCTACAAGTGCTTCTATTAGAATATCGAATACTTAGTTACGTGTCTTTAATTTTTATTTTACTTTTTTGGAAAGAATGAGCGCCAAAACTTAAAAACATGTTTTCTTCTGTTATAGTTATCTTCGAATATAATAAGGTGCAAACTTTCAAAGCTTCCCTGTCATCAAAAATACCTTCTTAAACTTTTAATCACCCATTTACTTGTTCACCTCCAAAAATCGACCACATACATTCGTACAAATACATTTTTATACATTCTTACACTAGTCATGTTATATAAAGACGAAACTAATATTTGTTTGTTGAATTTCGTGCAAAGTTAATCATAGGCTATCTGCGCTAGCTGTCACTAAATTAAAAATAATAGACTAACTAGTCAACACCACCCATAACTCTTGGGCTAATATTTACCAAAAAGTAGTTGGATTGACCATCGTATTATAACACTCCCACAGCAGAAAAAGCGAGCATGTTCGATGATGGGTTCGATCCCACGACCCTCAGGTTGCCAGGCCACGATCCTAGTATAGCTCTACATTTATAATCCTTTACCAACTTGAAATTTAATGCTTCAAGTAAACTATAACAAAAGCTTCATCGATTTGCTATAGTA